TTTGGGATCTTTTATGTATAATATTGGCAGTAACTTAGAAGATATAGGTGTAGGAAAGGATTTTCTAAATCAGAATTTGCTCAGGAATTAAGGCCAGCAATCGAGAAGTGGGACCTCGTCAAACTAAAAAGCTTCTGTACAGCAAAAGAATCAAAAAAGTGAAGAGAAAACGCACAGAATGGGAAAAATTTTTTACCAGTGACACATCTTACAGAGGTTTAACAGCCAGAATATATAAAGAACTCAAAAAACAAAGAAGCAAGAAACTAAATGACCCAATTAAAAGATGGACTAAATGGGGCTGGAGAGATGGCTCAGCAGTTAAGAGCACTGACTGCTCTTGCAGCAGACCTGGGTTCGATTTCCAGCACCCACATGGCGGTTACATTCCATCCTTAACTCCAGTTCCAGGGGAATCCAAAGCCCTCTTTTGATCTCTGTGGCATTGTACCACATGGGTGCACTCACAAACATGCAGGCTATACACTCATATAAAATAAAAATAGTAAATAAAATATTTTTAAAAAAAGATGGGCTAAAGATCTAAACAGAGAGTTCTCAAAGGAAGAAATAAAGATGGCTAAGAAACATCTCAAAAAGTGTTCAACATCGTTAGTAATTACAAAAATGCAAATTAAAACCACCCTAAGGTATCACCTTACCCCAATCAGACTGGCTAGGATCAAGAGAACAAATGATACCAAATGCTGGCAAGGATGTGGAGAAAGGGGAACGCTCATTCACTGCTGGTGGGATTGCAAATTTGCACAGCCTCTATGGAAAACAGTGTGGAGAACTCTTAAAAAACTAAAAATGAACCTACCATATGACCCACTCCTTGGCATATACCCAAAGGACTCATCCTATTGTAGAGAAACTTGTACAACCATGTTTGTTGCTGTTCTTTCCACAATAGTTAAGAGATGGATGCAACCTAAGTGTCCCTTAACTGACAAGTGGTTAACAAAAATGTGGTATATTTACACAATGGAGCTCTATTCAGCAGGAAAGAAAGATGAAATAACAAAATTTGCAGGTAAATGGATGGATCTAGAAACTGTTATACTAAGTGAAGTAACACAGACTCAGAAAAACAAACGACGTATGTTCTCCCTCATATGTGGCTCCCAGCACCAAATCCTTTTAAATTCCAGGTTCTTTTAATAAGAAGATGCAGTCCCTTCTGCATGAAATAACTACCATCATCATGACTTCGGTTGAGCCTGATCACTAAACAGTCACAATTGGGCTTGTTGATGGTTGTGCTCATTCATTAAAGAGTGCCAAGCAGGGTCATTGGACCCTCACCTGAGTATCCAGCCACTCTTCTCAGTCAATTAATTCAGCCGTGGAAGACAAAAGAAAAATGAGGAAGAGCAATAGAGGGATGCTTTCGGAAGCTCTTGTCAAGAATTCCAGTGGGCTCTGGTATGAACATTTGAAATTTGCCCTGTTTTGACTTTTCTTCTGGTTCCCTGTCTAGAACTTGTAATACTAACTTCTTGCCTTTACTTCACATCTCCTAGGCAGCAGTCAAGGACTATTCTATTCTCCCTACTGTTAAGAGTCATATAATTTGGGAGTCTTTTAGATAGACCCACTGAAGGGGTACCCAATTGCCTCACCCTGTGTCCCTGTTCAGCATGGAAGAAGCCAGAGAGGTCTGCGTTCCTATTCCCTATTGGCAATTTGGGTAACCCCTTCAGAGCATGGCTAGGCAGTTAGGGTAAAAAGACCCCAAAGAAATGTAGCAAGTTTCTTGGTTAAAAGCCAAAATGTCCTTGGTCCTGTTAACAACACATTCTGTTCCAAAGGCCAAAAATGTGAAAAGTATTTGGGAGCTTGTATTTAACCCTTAAAAGATTTTAGGGTTACCTCTTCAGAGGGGGAAATGTTGGAGGGGAGGGAGTGGGCATGGATTTGATCAAAACCCTTTATATGCATGTATGAAATTCTCAATGAAGTTTTTGTAAAAGTTAAAAAAAACCCATAATTCACATATCACAAAAAGTAAAATGAGGAGCTGGAGAGATGGTTCAATGGTTAAGAACTCTTGGTATGCAAGCAAGACAACTGAGGTTTGGACCTGTACACAGGTAGCAAGCCAGGTGTCCTGTGTACACCTATAACCCCAGCACTGGGGAGAGCAGAGAAAGGAGGATCAATTTCTGTAGCTTACTGGCTACCAGTCTAGCCAGAAAAATAGACTTGAATTCCAGGGTCAGAGAGAGAAAGAGATCCTGCCTCAAAAGAACAGGCAAAGAATGACAGAGAAGGACACCTAATGCTCTCCTCTAGCCTCTGCATACAGGCAGGTAGATGTATACATACACGTGCAAACACCATATTCACACACTATATATATATATA